GAAGTAATTTAAATTTAAAATTTCACTACCAAAGTACAGAAATAAAGACACAAAAACAGTTGTTTGGTTCTAGATGACAGATGACAGGCATTTTGGCAACATGCTCCATTTGATCCTTTACTTTAGCTCATGATTATGTCCTTTTCCAGAAGCTTTTAGAACAAGTTTGCTTGGGGCTGAAATGGGGGAATATCCAAGACCTTAAGAAGTGAGTGGTCCTTGAAAAGGGTGGTTAAACAGAATAATGAAGGTGTGAGTTACTTTTATCATTCCATACTGTAGGTGATCACAGATACATAGGATTTATTCTGGTTGCTATGTTCTAAGTGCTGAACTGAATAGTTTAGAAGCACCATCTCAGTTAAGTCCTATCATAACCTGAGCTTTGGATGTGTTGGCCATCATTATCCATATGAAAACGTGAAGGAATAGATCTCACCTTCTGTAGCTGGAGTCTTTGAAGCCAGAGTAGTACTGTCCTAGCAATCACCCGTGACCCGGTACCTGACCCAGTCTGGGGGGAGCTCAGCTCTTTGGGATGCCTGTCCCACATGGAGTTCATCGAGGCAGTGGTGGTTCATTAGAATCTTTGAACCACTATGTGCCTGACTCGGAGGACATGGAGAGGCTGAGGAATTGTGTACATGCGGTGCTTTTTTTTCTGAAATGCTATTATCTAGTCTCTTGTGACTTTTGTCCTTTCGAGACAACTGTGGAGTGACTGTCCAAATCAGTGTTTCTTTGCCTCGGCTACAGGGAGGAATGGCTCAGGAGGTATAAAATGTAAACCAAAGAAAAGAAAACAACATGAAGCCCTGTCCCCACCTCCAGAAAGTCTGGTGGAAACTAAACAGTGCCTGTAGTCTTCTGAAGACTCAGTTTGGGCCCCACCCTCCCTGGGGTCTAGACTGAGGCATCAGGACTCACGGTGCTGCAGCCTATGAGGCGAGGTAGTCTAGCTCCACAGCCGGGGCTGCTGCACACCTCCCTCCCGCAATGTCCCTAGACACCTCCCTCAGGGAACCCCTGACACACAGCAGAGGAGGGAGAGGTGAATGAAGAAGCCCTTTGGGTACTTGTGCTATTCCAGTCAGTCTGACCTTCCAGGAAGCCTGCTGAGAACCCAGTTCCAGCCCCTGGGATCTCACTTTTCCATGCCTTGTCCATGCCTTAGATATCCTGGCTCTGTGCATTGTTTGCTTTCCTATTCTGGTAACTTCTCAGACACTGGCCACATTGGCAGAATCAAGCATAGGTATGTCCAGGAGCAGTTCCAAATGGTGGTCACCAGTGCTGTTGCCTTTCAGTGGAATTACGTTTCCTGTCTTCTCTTCGTGCTACTCTTGTCCACTTAATGGTCCTCCTGCTCCCACCACTCCACAGCTTTCTTTAACTTGGACAAGGACAGACCATAGTAAATCCAGCTGTGGACGGTAGTCTAGGTAGCAGAGGCACTTTAAGGCCAATAAGTAGTTTGCTATTTGCAAGCGTGTCCTATTGGAACACGGCTTCTGTGGAAATATGGTGTTCACAGGTTACCAGTTGGAGCAGTAAGTTAGATTTTCCCTAGCAAATATTTGTCCACAGTAATATTTGTCCACCTCTTCTGGGACCTTGAGCCATCATTTTTCTTTGTTTTATCCGCACATGGTCTTTTCCTTTCACTGGCTCCAGGTCTTCCGTCTTAAAAATGCTGAAGTTGTAGTTCTCCTGAAAACAAATTAAATAAACCTTTCCTTTGACCCTGCTGTTTCCTCAGGCTGCCACTCTGTCCAACAGTTCCCAGGGAGAATACACTCCCCTCCTGCTGTCTAATCTTGGTATCTCTATTACTGGTTTCCAGCCTCATAAATGAGGCAAACCTTTGTCTGGCAGCTACTCAGAAGGGGGATGCTCTCTTAAGGGCGATTGGAGCTGAGTTTTGATCTGAGGAATGTTCAGATCCACAGAAAGGCTCAGAAGCCATACTCCAGAGAGACTGAGGTGAGATTCTAGAGAGCTCACCATAACTGTTGGACAGAAAAGCCACATGTTCATAGCAGCTGGGACTGAAGCCAAGGGTAAGGAAATTCGGATTACCAATTAAGCGAAAGACCCCTTACATACTAAAATGACCCAGAGAAAAAACTTGAGTGGCTTCAAATATGAGCCCAAACTTAATATGCTGAAGAATCCAACATATTCAATTTCAAAAATTTGTCATTTATGTTCAGTAGTGAAATAAAGCAGGGTATCCCAGAGGCTGACCTCGAGCCAAGGATTTTGAGTGTGAGTAGTTTGTTAAGGTACAGCTCCCAACAGAAACCAGCAAAGGAGCAGAAGAAATGAGAAAAGGAGTAGAAGAAGCAGGCCGGGGAAGGGAAGAAGCTAAGAAAGGTGAGATTTCAGGTGAAGTCCTAAGACTCAGCTTGAGGACCTGAGGTGCTTTGTGTTACTCCATCTCAAGACAGAAAAGCCAAGTGTTTGCACTGTCACACCAGTAAGTCACTGGTGGGAGTAGAGGAGGCTGTAAAATTTCCCAAAACTTTTACTACAAGCCAGGGACTCCCTGTAAGTGACCCTTGAAACTGATAGGTGCAAATACTTCACAGCAAGAACGTTGAAGCTGGGGATTAATGAAAAGCGCTGGTAAAAGAGGCTCAAAGCTAAATAAATGCAACTCCAGTATAAGGTGAAGCAATTGAAAGGTGCGCGGTGCTGCTGAAATCTTTGATAATGGATCAACCCAGTACTTGTGTGGACATTCTGGAGGCAGCCTGGCAGTGCTTAGTGATACTGACCATGTACAAACCCTGTGATCCAGCAGTTGTCTCATTCTTCCTTAAATATCCCAGGAAAATCGAATACATCCCTATAGAGGCTTGCATAAAGATGTACAGTATAGCCTCATTTGGGATAACAAAGGACTGGATAAGTTAAATGTAAGATTCTGTATGTCTGTCTCTCTGCCTCTAGGTAGTCCTTCATATCCACAGGTCCCTCATCCATGGTTTCAACTAACCATGGGTTGAAAATATTTGTAAAACATTTGCATTTATACTGAACACCCAGAGAGCTTTATAGTTGTCATTTATTTCCTAAACAGCACAGCATAACAACTATGTATTTACTTATTGTTTCTTAGAATTAGGTATTATAAGTAATGTGGAAGTAATTTACAGTATAAGGAAGATGTGTGTAGGTTAGGTACCACGGCATTTTACATAGGGACTTGAACATCAGTGGATTTGGTTTACGAGGGGATCTTGGAACCAATCCCCTTTGTGTACTGAGGGATAGCTATATAACCCCATATATAGGAATTTTGCCTCTTACTTACGTAAATTGTTCATTCATTATTGTTCTTTAAAGGCTTTAAATAGATTATATGTATATTTTATGTATTTTTATAATTTGGAGAGGAAAATTATTTCTAAAGACTATACAAATTTAATTAGCTGAAATAAAAAATGTCAAAATGAACAGAAATAGGGAACAGTGGGACAGACAGACAGTTTCTTTGAAGAAAGGCCATCTGCCTTCCCCTTTCTTTAGGAAGAACTCCCTCGTTGCCTTCCCCATACCCATCCTCAGCTGCTCAGCAGAATTCCATCATTCCCAGCAGGGTCTCGATTGGAAGTTAGGGGGAGTAATAAGGCTTCACCCCTCTGAGTTTCATAACACAGAGAAAAAAATAGGTCAGCATCAGTGTTTCATTGTGGAAATGTGTGTCCCTACAGCTTAAAGAAGCACATGTATTCCCTTTACCTATTCACTTTTTGATTTTCCCTTTTCAAGATATTTTAAAAGCATGCAAATGGTTTGATCCTAATAATCATACTTTGAGAGAAATAGAGAGCTGTAGTTCAGGGAGAAATGGCTGTGTCCTGGAAAAAATGTGAGCAAATGGAGTGAGTCAGGGCTGTGCCCTGGAGGCACCTGTGGCTTGACTTAGCTGACAGTGTGACACTATGTAGACTGGGCAAGGCCATGACTCCCATCTGGGATAAATCTGTCTCACAGTACCAAGTACACAATTGCATCGACCTTCACAGAACCAGATTCAAATAAACAATCATCAATTCCATGTAGATCAGCTAGATAAGAGGACTGTGGTTTAAGATCAAAGAGGAAAAATTCATGGAATTCCCTATGTTCCCCTAGGAAGATTCCATGACTCTTCTAATTATATTTAGAGTTAACATTGCTGTTCTTCATTTATTACCCCCAGGAAGAAACATAGTTGATAGACTCTACTGAATAACACCGATGCTAAAAGCTTAGGAGACTTGGAGATGTTACGGGTTCTGGCTTTGTCCAGAAACAAAAAACATCAGAGTTAGTGCTAACCAA